TTTTATCTGATTTCGGTTTATTTACTACCAAACTAGCAAAAAAGTCACTCTTGAGATTCATCAATATAGAAAAAACTTTACTTTTCAAAAAAAATTCGGAAATTTTATATAAGACCTTTAAACAATAATTTTTACTAAAAACACAGAATTAATTTTTTAATAACGATGTAATAAAGTTTTTCTGTTATTCTTTTTATTATGTGGTACAAATCTAAAACTTCAACTCTTTCAATTACATAGGGTAAAGAATTTATAATGGTTTGTTTTATCTCTCTTGTAGCAGGGTTAGTATAATTGTTTTTATTGAAGAAACAATGACGATTGCGATGTATAAGAAACTTTAAAGCAATAATTTTTAGCAAACTATTCATAAAATTTGTCTAAAAACAATTATCCTGATATTAATAATGATATTAAACATACTTTAAGACTTGTTTCTAAATGGGTTGATTATAAAAGAACACAAGTTTTAGAGTGAAACAAGTTTAAATCAAAACTTTATTGAGATATAAAAGGCTCTTGTAGAGTATAAATTAACCAAATTTGGTAAGTTATAAAAGATGATTTGAAAAAATAAAAAGATTTTGTATAATATACCAACTAATTTAATATAAAAATAGGTAGTTGGTTTTCAAAAAAGGTGTTTAATAGTGTATAAATCAAATGGTTATAACACTAAATATTAAATTTATTTCTCGACACATTTTTTAGTACATTTTTTAATTTTTATCTTTGTATAAAATATAATTTTCTTTGAATTTAGTTGTTTTAATTATTAAAATATATAATGTTTAAAAAAAATTAACTATAAACTATATAATGAGATTTTTAAAAATTTTATAGGACACATTCTTGTGAACAGTAATGTATATAAATAAAAATACTAAATAAATTATGATTTAAAAAAAATTAGTAAATTTAACAATGTTGTCAAAGGCAGCTTGGATTTATACCAAAACAATGATATTAGTGTGCAGAATGAGAACTAAATAATCTTGAAAAATAAAAAATTACAATTAAAAATCAAGGTTACATATGTATAAGTAGTCCTATTATAGAAGTTAAATCTTTAATATCAATGATTATTACAATATACTTGATTAGAAGAGGCAGATATTTAGAACATAGAAAACACACGGTTAATTTGATAAACAGCTATTACAATGCTTGATATTTTACCGATGAAGTCATACAAAACTTTATAAAGGAAAAGATGAAAGATCTTTTATTAGTGTTTTAAACACAATCA